CATTTTTAGCACTCAGCTGCTGGTTTCCAAGCCTGTAAGAGTGACTTTTCTGCAATAGTCTGGGTGGGAACCTTGCTTCAAAAATGAAGCCGAAACATCTTACAAAAATCACGTGATACCACAAGCTGGAGCTTTTAGAGAGAATGTTCTGCTCCAGGAGCAGATGTCACACAGCCCCACGGGACACCGGATCCCTCCCTCTTGGCACATGCAAATATCCCATCGTTTGCCTTAAAAACGATGAGAAAACCCAACGCAACCCATCCTAATGACCCCACGGCGCTGCTCTGCCCCGCTTCTGCATTCTTCTGCAGACCTCACTGTTGAAGGATGAGACCCTGAGTCGCCATAAAGGAAACAGTCGTTGTGTTTTGGAGTGGTCTGCTCTGGAGAGAGGAGCTGGGCTCAATGATGCTCATGGATCCCTTCCAACTTGGTGCGGTCTGTGTTTGTATGATTGCAGGGCGATGCGTCCCAGCCTAAAACGCTCGGATGGAGAACTGCCCATGTTGCTCCTACAGGGTGATCCCAATGAAAAGAGTGAGGAGAGTCCATATGGCCGTGAGTTAACAGAGATAATGAAGGTGAAGTGGTGAAAGGGCAGCAACGCTGCACATCAGAACTGGAGGGGTCCCTGTTACGGTCGTGGGGAGGTGTGTTGTGGGGCAGATTGATCTGGAGGGTGCTGTGTTTTCCCCTGAGGCGCTGCAGGCCAGACAAGGCACCAGAGCTGTCTGCCAGTTCCTGTGCCCTGTAATTTCTGTGCCCTGTACTTTCCCCTGGGGCCAAAATCCTTCTTCTGTCCTGAGCAGTACCTGAAACTAAGCAGCGTGTTCCAATGAGATCAGTAATTACCATCAGCCCGAGTCATTTATTTTTAACGAAGCTGGTCAGAATCTTCATTTTGTATTTTGGTTCATTTTTTTTTACATCCCAGCATTTCGATCACTGCTCTCCTATTGTCACCATTGTATCCCTTTGCAGGCACTCTCAGAGCCAAGCCCAGGTTGCAGGATGCTCTGCAAACCAGAATGAGCTCTGGGCTGAGAGCTGTGCCCCCTCCCTGGTCCTGCAGCATCCCCACTCCATCTCCGTGGTCCCTCTGAGCCTCTTTTTGCTTTTGCACAGTAATTCCCATTTGCATCCATGGGAAAGTTCCCAACGCATGTGCTGAGAGCACCTGGAAGTGTCAGCAATACCACTGCAGGGGTGAGATGGACGTGGAGTTGTGACATGGGATGTGGAGAGGCTGCTCCCACCCCATCGCAGTGCATAGCAGGAAAATGTACCAGCCTGGGCCAAGAAATCCCACTTGCCTACTCACACGGCACTAACAATGAAAACACTAATTATATTTCACTTATCTATCAAAGGGATGATTCAAGGAGGTGAGTGGGCACGGAGCATTACACAAGATGAGCCCCGAGGTGTGACTGCCCATCCCTTCTGGGTGGCCCTCTCAAAAAATGTGCATGGATCACACAGGTTGGGCTGGGGGAGACAACTAGAGGGATGGGGAACAGCTATGGGGCATGGGGATGGGAACCTGGTGCCCAAGGACTGGATGGGCTACGGAGGCCTCAGAGAGAGGTTCCCCCATCCAACCCCTTCCCATTGGGGCAAACAGGGAGGAGAGAATGGCTTTGCCAGGGCTGAAATGGGCCCCGGCTGCTCCAGCAAAGGCAATGCAGTGGCACTGGATGACATTGCTGCTCACTCCAATGAATGCTTATCTTGATAGATGCTCACCCCGCTGGGTGCTCAACCTTATCACCCTGATGCATGCAGCCCCTTCTACCCAGTACCCCTGCTCTTCAACCTGCTACCGGCTGGGCTGAACCAGGCCCAGTAAATGTGCTCTGCAACCCCAGCATCTAACAAAAGCAATTCTCAGCTCTTGGTTTATATAATATCATCCTACTGCTGGATGGGACAGGAGGCATCGAGCAATTTTGGCAGTGGGACAAGGGCGCACGGATGGGAAAAGATGGTGCACACGTGTGCCACAGATGCACAGACATAGGCTGCGTGTGCAGCGATGCCAGGGAGCTTCAGCACAAAGTGGTCTCCTTGAGAGGGCTGTGTTTGCTTATTGGTGCCCCATGCAGTTTTGCTGTGCATGCAACCGCTCGGCTCAGGGAAGCAAGTTTGCATGGGCATTGGGCAGAGAGTGGGGGGCAGAGCATGTGAGTGGGGGTCTGTGCATGGAGTGGGGAAGCGGCGTGGGGAGCAGAGGCGTGTGTGCACGGTGCTGAGCGTGGCAGTGTGGGAGGTGTGAGCTCTGCAAGCTGCGTGCGGGGGCAGCTGGTGTGGGGGTTGGCAGCACCCGACGTGGGGGGACGGTGCCTGGGGCTGTGAGCTGGGGGTGCTGAGCAGGGAGGCATCGTTTGCCGTGCCTGAGCTGAATGCATCGATGGATGCGTGCATGGCAAGATGCTGCATCCCTAATAGCGCTGGTAATGGCTGGGGGAGTTTTGGGGTTGGTCCTTCACGCTATTGCACAAGGAGAAATTGGAGTGAAAGGCAGGGATTTGGTGGCACCTTGCTTCCTCAGCCTGGCTGTGCATTTAGGGGCCCATCCCCTAGGCCTGGTTGATGTGCTATAAAAAATAGCATGTAAGGGATGAATATTTATCTGTAGGTGGCAAGTGACAGATGCTGGGGCGAGGATTCTAGGATACTTCAGTTTGATGGAGGTAATAACTTGAATAGATTAATGAGAAACATCCTTCCTCAGAGCTGCCTCCCCTGTACCACAGTTACACGGTGCCCTTGGTGCAAACATTGGCTTCTTGCACCCAAGAGCACAGAGTTCACCAAGGTTTGGTTTCCAAAGGTCTGAAGGTGTCCAAATCCACCCAAAGTGGGGATGTGGGACTGGGAAAGACTCCCTGGCTGCTGGCAGCTGAGTTCAGTAAAGTGCATCCTACCTGAGCCAAAATGGGATCAGAGAGCGTGGGCATTGGGGATGTGCATGGGATATCCCCATTCCCAGCACCTGGCCATGAGCTCTGCAGCTCTGTATGGCCCCATGCAGCCATTCCCTTCTCCCTGCACTGTATACAGTCCCCAGGGGACAGCGTTTTGCTCTTCCCCTGCCCATCTCACACCTCCTCCTAATACCAAAGATGTGCATGGAGAGGCTTTTGGTCCTGAGCACAGGGAAGCTGGGCTGGCCTGACAAGATGGAAGCAGCAGCTGTTGGCTTCTGGTAGCTTCTCAGAGCAGTGAGCAGCATGCAGCCTGGCTTGGGCATGCACCCTGTGCTGTCCTGCATGGGGTGGGGGGCGACAGAGGTGTGGGGCCAGAGCAGTCCCCAGCACCATGGGCTCTCCGTACAAATGCCCCCAGTGGGGTCGGAATGCTGGGGGGGTTGGTATGGGGGCAGCACTGGAGTTCAGATCATGCAGAACACCACCCCCACCCCCTGCTGACCCCTCACTGTGAGCACTGCCTGAGTTTTATTCCCAGCAGAAGGATGTCAGATGTAGGGATCGCTCCCAAACCCAAACCCAACCAATCCCAGCATTATTCCAGGCATCTGAAACAAAAGGTGCAGCCGTATTTTCCTCTCAGAGAAACCCCCCCCCCCCCCCCCGAGCAAATTATCTTTAAAAATAAAGCGATCTCTTCTCCCTCTCCCTCAGAGAGCACAAAGGGCTGCAGGTACCACGTCTGATCATAGGGCAGCACCAGGCTTGCTGGAGAAAGCTCTCGCAGCACCTGTCAGGAAGGCTGCGACGGAGCTCAGTTCCTGCAGTCCCCTGACCGTGGCCATCCTGGTAAACCGTAATGCCATCAAATGTAAGGAACCCGCTTGGGGTGGTGCACATCCAGCAGAAAAAGCCCTGCTGCAGGGAGGTAGGCCTGGCTCTTATCATGGTGGCAATCCAGATGGAAGGACCCCGAAAGGCTACGGAGGATGATACAGCCACTTAAGGAGAGCACCAGCTGTTTTTCCTAGTTTGGCCCTAAAGCTCGTTAGCCTGGCGATTGCTGATCACTCCAATTGGGTTTTCTTGTTTTGTTTTGTGTTTTTTTTTCCCCATTTAATCCTGGTTTTCCCCTCCACATCTCGCTAAGCCGCGTTGACGGCAGAGAATAGCTTCTGTGATCCCTCTGAGCCCCTACGCTAAGCATTAAGCCGTAAACTAGGAATGTAAGACTCTTGTCTGAATTAAATTCTTTTGCCTGGGCATTATTCATTAAGTGTGGGGCTGAAGGCAGGGTGTTCACGAAGCCCTCGGCCTTTCATATAAAGGGTTTGCTGCAATAGAGCTGTATGGATCTGCCCCAGACATCCCTGCATGCTCCGCTCCCCTCTGCCCTGCTTTGCTGCATCCACTCCAATGCAAATCCTACAGGTTACAGTGGTGCAGAACTGCCCTGTCCCATGTGCAACTCGGGCTGCTCCCACCAGCTGGGCCCACCCCATCCTCCCTGCTTTGTCCTCCATTGCTCAGGTACCAGCATCTCATCCCCTCTCCCAAAAAAGCCTTTGTAGGTGCAGGCCTGGTGCTGTGACCAGCTGAACATATGGGGCTACCTCTGGCAAAGAGGTGGCCTGGTGCCATGCTGGCTGCTGCCTTATCTCCTGTGGGGCAGTGAGCAGCAAGCAAGCAAGCAGGTTGCCATGTCCCAGACTTCAGCTCAAGCCTGGGAGCTGAACATATAGCTCACTGCTACCTACGCATCCATCAGTGGTACCCACACATTGCTGGTACCCAAATATCCCTCACGGTACCCACAGGCTGTTGGAACCCATATACCCATCACTGGTACCCATGCATCCCTCACTGGCACACACAGATTGTTGGTACCCATGCACCCATCATTGGTACCCATACATCACTGGTACCCACGCATCCCTCAGTGGTGCCCATCCATCTCTGGTACCCACGCATCGTTGATCCCCATACATCCCTCGCTGGTACCCACACACCCATCGCTGGTACCCACACTTCCTGCCCCAGCTTGGGAGATATCAAGACACCACCTACCTCCATCCGAGTAGGTCTCAGTCCCGTAGCCATCCTGTAATCCATTGCTCCAGGTGCCTTCATACTTGGCCCCATTTCCAGTGCATTCTCGGACCCCGTACCGTCCCTTAAATCCGTGGGTCCACTCTCCTTTGTACACCCACTTCCCCTTGCTCTCCATGCCAATGCCATGGCGCTTGCCCTGCGCCCAGGTGCCCTGGTAAGTGTTGCCGCTGGGCCAAGTGTAGACCCCCAACACCTCAAAGCCGTGACTCCAGGAGCCCGAATATTCACCTTGACCCTTGGGGCCGGTACAGATTCCGTGGCCATGAGCCTTTCCGTCCTCCCAGCCTCCACAGTACGACCCTCCATCGTCAAAATTAAACCTTCCCCCACTGGACATGCATGTAATTCGGTTTGCAAATCCCCCAAAAGGTGAAAAGAAAAAAAAAAATAAAAAAATAAGAATAAGAATAAAAAAATGATGCGGGAGAGAAAAGGAGAACGATGACTTGGAGAAAAAAAAAAAAAAAAGATAGAAAAATCAGGTTGCAATCATGCACCAGATCCAGCCGCTGCTCAAGCCAGTTCCTCGTGATTATTCATTCTCTGGGAGTGTGTTCGGGATCGGTTGGCTCTTCCCCTGCTGTGGAAACAGTATCATTAAAAAAAAAAAAAAAAATAGCAGCAAGAACAGCGGCAGCTATTGGGTTTTGGTGCAAACGACTCCACCTAAAAACCATCCACGGCAGAAAACGGGGGTGGAGGGGGAGAGAGAGAGAGAGAAGAAGGGGTGGGGGGGAAATAGAAGGAAAAAAAAAAAAAAAAAAAAAAAAGAGGCCAAACGCCAAGAGGATGGAAATAACGGGGCTGGGAGGGAGGGAGGCCCCCCCCGCTCCCGGCTCAGGCCGCCCGGCCCCGGCGCATGGCTCAGCAGCAATGCGGTTCCCCCACCGCCTCCCGGCCTCGCCCTACGCACGTCCTAAAAAGCCTCTCCCGCAGCCGCCGCTCCCCTGCAGCTCTGCCCGCCGCGGGAGCCGCTCGCTGGGGCCGCCCGTGCCCGCATGCTGCTCTCCGCCAGGCCCCGAGGGGGGGGGGAGCGCGGCCCGACCCTCGCTCCCCCTCCTTCCCACGGGGCTAAATCCTGCTTATCAACGAGCGAGGATCCTGGGCTGCTGCTCTGCCTCAGCTCCGGGTGGATTTAAAGAGACAGCGGCTGCGGCTGCCCCCTCCCTCCTTTCTTCCCTCCCTCCTTCTCTCCCTCCCTCCCTCCAGAAGGATGCTGCCGGGGTTGGATTTCTCTCTCCATTCCTCCCCGCTCCTTCCGTTTGGGATCCGGCACGCCGCAACCCCGCTTATTGATTCGCATCGCTCCAGGCTGCATCCCCTCCCTTCGGCATCCCGGGGCGCTCGGGATGGTGTGCAGGGCCTGAGCTGCCGGGCCCGGGGGAAGGGGGCGGTTTACAGGATGGTGGGAGATGTAGGATCGTCCAGGAGCACGCAGTGTCCCCATCCTGCAATGCTTGTGCCAGGCAGCATCCGTGTGCCTGCTGCGTTTGCTTTCACATGCAAGTGAATGAGGGCCGAAGGGGAGCTCTGTTGAGAAGGATGATGAGAAAGGTGCTCATAGGGTCAAATCTGGGAGCTGTGTGAAAAGAGAATCGTGGAATCCCTCAGGCTGGAAAAGACCCCCAAGGTCCTCAGGTCCAACCCCAAACCCATCCCACCACGGTGCCACATCCCCGCGGTTCTGGAGCACCCCCAGGGATGGTGACCCCACTTCTCCCTGTGCAGCCCGTGTCAATGCATCACCACTCTTCAGGAGAAGCAATTGCTCCTAACATCCCACCTGGCCTTCCCCAGGCACAAGGTGAAGCCGTTCCCTCTCATACGACCAAACACAACGTGGTGGTTGGATTGGACGATCGCAGAGCTCTTTTCCAACCTTCGTGATCATTCAATCTGCAATTCCACTCTTCTCCCAGTCCCTTTCCAACCATGGGATTTCAATCCCGGCATCTCAGCTGCGTCCCCCCGAGTCCCTCCTGCCTCCATGCCCACCCAATGCGAGCTTTGGGGCTGTGCTCCCCACTCTCCTTCTCTCTCGATGCATTTTCTGGTGTACAAAACCACCCTCATCTGGAGGAAGTCTTCCTCCTCGCAGGAGCTGGAGGGAAGAGAAGCAACCACAGTGGGTGGGAACTCTCCCACTTCAGCTTTTTTTTCAGTGGAAAATGTATTTTCAAACCATGCTGAGTCCTTAATGTGACAACTGCACTCTTTATGCTTTCTTCTCCCCCAAAATTCCACACTTCAGGTACTGCAGATTTCGGCAGCTGCCAACTCCCCCCCCTTTTTTTTCATGAAAGAGAAAAGCCTTGGAGTGAAAAACCTCCAAACTTTCCAAGGAAAACACTACCAATAAAGTGTTTAAATACAAGATCAGCTTCTAGGGTACTGCAGGCCTACCAGAATGGTTCCTGGTTTTGATCCAGGTTGGATATTAGGAATGATTTCTTCTCCCAAAGAGCAATCAGGCACTCACAGTGCACAGGGAGGTGGTCAAGGTGCTCCAGAACCATGAAGACGTGGCACTGAGGGACCTAATGGGCACGGTGGGATGGGTTGGGGTTGGACTTGATGGCCTTCGAGGTCTTTTCCTCCTTAGTGCTTCTGTGATTCTAAAACCAGCCTTCATTTAGGAATTGCACACCTGTGTCTGAAGCGTGGGCATTTTCTATGCTAAAAATACAGCCATGTGTTGCATCTTTTTCTGTCCTTGAGTGGGTTCTGGTTTTGCAGTGAGCCTGTTGTGCGTCCCACTGCCCTATGGCTGGAGGGGGAGTTGGCTGGGGAGGAGTGTGGTTGTTATCAAAGAATTTGTGATGAGCTTCGGGATGCTCAAGTAATGGCCAATGGCACGTTGGCAGTCTGGTTGGGTGATTGGGAATGCTGGGGCCATCATGGTGGGGAGGCCAAGTGCAACACAGCATGCTGCTGCCTCCAACCCTTCCTACACCCCAAATAAGTCTGTTTTTCCCAGACTTTACCCAAAGGCCAGGGTTTAGAATCGTCAAACTGTAGCATCACAGAATCACCAAGGTTGGAAAATACCTCTATGATCATCCTGCAGTGCCATTCCATGGTTCTAGAACACCTCCAGGGGTGGTGACTCCATCACTTCCATGGGCAGCCTGTGCCAGTGCATCCCCATTCCATCATCCACAGTTTTCCAGCCCTGGAAACTCCTTTCCAGACCAGTTAGGATCTCTTGGTTGGTGCTGAGAGGAAATTCAAGAGGCCAGGCTGCAGAAGGAATCCTCCAGCACCTCTGCTGAACTTTGCAGACATTTCCCCGAAGGGCACAGACAGCATGAAGTAGAACTGCCAAGCTTTTTTAAATAACCGAGTGCATTTGTGCACGAGGAGAAGTGATTCGATGTTTGGAATAAAAGAAGAAAGTTGGAAACAAAAAAAATACAAGAAAAAGCAAACCAGCTTATGGTAGTGGTAAGAACCCATCAGATCAAGGAACGGAGCTTAGAGGAGGCAGAAGAGAAAATGGGCATTGAGAAGGATCAAAAATGCAGAGAATGAAATCAGCAGCTGCAGCTGCTGCGGACAAGATGCTGGTGGGAAGGTGGAGCTCTGGGTGGAGCTCAGGACCAGCTCTGTCCTGCAATGAAGGAAAAGCATTTTGGCTCATAAATCAAATACAGAACATCGGCGAGACTCAGCCTTCTCAGGAATGCCATCTCAGCAGGTCTGTGCTTTCATGGAGTTGTAGAATCATGATGATTGGAAAAAAACACTCAGATCATTGAGTCCAACCCCAACCCATCACTGCCATCCTCACTGAGCCCGGCTGCGTCCAGCCGTGGAGCTGAGCTGAGCTCCTCAAAGGGAAAACTCATAGGGGCTGAGCTGGGAGCACGGCAGCCTGATAACACGTAGGGGAGGAACGAAACGGTTCACATCCACTGGAAATCAATTCAATTTCAAAAATGAGTTGGGAAATGGAAGGATGTGAAGATCTCCGAGGATATCTCCATGCCTTGCCATCCTGTGGGCTGGGAGAGATGCTCCATGCCAGACCCAGAAGCAGCACCCAAAGGTGGCTTCAACTCATTGGTAATACAGAAAATAAAAATGATGTAGAGTGTTTCTGGATGAATATCCCAGCAAATAAAACATGAGATCTCCCTGCTGCTGCAGGGACTCAGCACCACCTGCTTCTTTTGGCAGTCACATCCATGATATGTAATGAAGTCCCTGTGACCACCAGGGGCCGAGCGATGCACACCGGGGGTCTTAAGCTGCCAGCATTAAAATGCCCTCAGAATTTCTGGGAAAACAAAAAGAAAGAAAAGAATTTCCTAATGATAAAATATTGCCTCCAACGTGAGGGAATTCCCTGCTATACCTCGCCCCGACAGGTGAAGATGGATTTCTCCCTGAACTAGGCATGAGCAATCACGGCTTGATTACATTTGCTATGTGCAAATGAAGTAAAGCTTCAAAGCAGTTTTATGTACATATACATAGATATATATATAGTTGGCACTTTAAAAGGTCCTGTTTCACAAAGCAGAAAATAATTACAAGTCAAATCAATTTGGGGAAAGAATTTAGATGAAATGTGTGCTGGAAAGGGAGAGGCCTTTAAGAATGTTTAACCCCCAAAGCAGTAATGCAGGCAGAAACCTTTGTTAGGAAACACAGCATGGCTTGGAAAGGAAGTGAAAGAGCCGCCAAGAGCAACACATAAAATATAAACAGAGAAAAAGAAGGAAAGGGAAACTGTTAGTAATTAATAGACCTCAGATGCAGCGGGAAATTAAAGGCAGAAGGAAAATTTCCAAGATTTTCAAGAATCTCACATTGACGTTGGGCCAATACTACAGAAATGGGGGATTTATCAGCGGCGCAGAAATGCTCAGTGCAAGTTTCCTCCTGGTGTCTGGTTGAGAACAGACAAGGTGCTGACAAATCGCTTTCCAAGGGTGCAGAGGAGGCACGATGAGATCTGTGGACCTGTGGGTCTGAATAACCTGTGTGAGTTTGTGGGAGGTGGGCAAGGAGAGCCGTCTAGAGAACAAATGGGGATTTTGTTCCAAGCAGGTCTTGGAACAGTCACCAAGAGCAGCAGAGTGTTGGGAGGAGGTCAGCACTGCGCCCACCAAGGACGGTGTCACAATGGGCACCAAAGATCCCCAGGCTTTTATCGTGGCAGGGATCCCTGACAAGTGATGTGAGCCAGCACCCAACCTGACGGGTCAAGAATGAACGGAGGGCAATGCAATGAAAGGTGAGCAGCAGCTCAGGGCAAAACAAGGGTGGTAAAGTCACTGAGGAGTCACAGGTTTGTCAGGGGGAGACGGTTGTACTGGTGCAATACTTTCAGCTTGCTGATGATTGGAATGTTGGCAGTCACACGGATGCCTCCTTGCAGTGCCCTCGTGCCCCCAGTTCCACTGGCTTGGAATACACAGCCTTGGATACCTGCTTGATTTTCGTTTTTGCTTCCTGCTCGTTTCCTCCTCCTGTTCATTGAACTCCAGGAGTAAACCCTCACTTGGTGTTGTCCCCAGGTTTTCTCCTGTCTGCTTGGTCTCTAGCTAAATTACCCCCGAACCAATTAAAGACCAGAATGATGTTGCAGCAAGCAGGACTGCTGCTAATCTTCCGGTACATTGCAGCTGATGAAAGTGATTGAAACGGTTGGAAATTACATTACTTGAAGGAGGTCAGCCTTCGAGTTGTAAGTAGCATTTTTCTTTTTTAGTATGTGGCTGCTTCAGTGCTAATAATCTCTCGCAGGTCAACAAAAGTCAAGACCTGGGTGAACCAGAAAGAGAAACTCCTGAGTGTCCTTGGGTTTAATACCGGTTCGCAAAGAGCTTAGGAGAAAATGACGGAAGGTTTTGCGTCCTGCAATAACTGTGCTGACTGTCTCACAGGGGAAATTGGTTTGCAGAGAGAGGAAGGACAGAGATGGCTAATGGGCATGTTACAGGCATGTGGGCAATAAATTACCTTGATTGTCTTCTTTGTGCTGGCCACGGCCTAAGTGCATTTACTGGTCACCGAATGTATCGCATTAACCTGCTGCATACAGTATGTGGCTGTTTATCCTGCCAATTACTGCAAATCTAATCAGCTTTAGCCGGGTAAAAATAGAGCCAGTT